CTCCCCCCCCAACCCCCCCCAAAACCCCCCCAAACCCCCCCTGAGACCCCTCCCCACACTCACAGAGACCCCAGGCCGTGCCCAGGTGCAGATCAGCCCCTCCTGGCACGCTGTCACGATACCCCTGGAGCTCCTGACCCCCCAAACGCCCCCTGAACCTCCCCAAATCCCCCCAAAATCCCCCCAAATCCCCTCTGAGACCCCTCCCCACACTCACAGAGACCCCAGGCCGTGCCCAGGTGCAGATCAGCCCCTCCTGGCACGCTGTCACGATACAATCCTCCAGGAACAGCAGCACCGTCAGCCTCTCCTGAGCGATTTTCTTGCACACCAGCGGCTCCAGCAGCGGCACCTCGTTCAGCCGCGGGCACAGCGCCGTCCCCAGCACCTTGGCCATGTCCAGAGACCCCCGAGACCCCCCGGGACCACCCCCCGGGGGGGTTTTCTCGGCGTTTCCCCCTCCCCTGCTGATGTTGCCCAAGCTGTGGTAACGTTTGTGCTGCTCCTTCTCGGGGGCTCCTCCTCGGGGGTCCCGCGGCGTCAGCGTGGCGAAACGCCCCGCGCTCAACGCCGGGGGGGCTCGGGGTGAAATCTGGGGACCCCCCCCGGTTTGGGGGAGGCTGTTGGAGCGGGATAAAGAACGAGGCAAACCCGACGGGTTGATCTGGGGGTCTCCCGGCGCCGGGCGCGGCCGGGGGAGGGAACCCCGAGATTCCAGAACGTCCTCGGTGAGATCCCACAGACAAAACTGGGTGTCCTGGCCGGCCGAGCCGAAGCGGTACGCCACGCCCGGGGGGTCCTGCCGCGTCTCGGGGGTCTCCCCGCGCCCACCCGTGAACGGATCGAAGGCCACCGCGTTCACCCACGACTTGTGGCCGTGTCCTCGGGCCACCACGCGACCCTCGGCCAGCGACCACACCGTCACCAGGTCGTCCTCGCCGCCGGTGACGACGTAGCGGCCGTCGGGGCTCCAACAGACGCAGAGGAGACCCCCGAAATAACTCCTCATCATGCCCTGGAGCAGCATGGAGGAGAAGTGGAACACCCTGAGGACGCCGTCCTGGCTGACGCACGCCAGCCAGCGCCCGTCCGGGGAGAAGGCGAACTCGTTCAGCGGCCCCGAGCCCACCGCCCACTTCAGCAGGGGGTTCCTGGGGGTCTTGCTCTTGCTGGAGAAGACCCTGAAGCCTTCTCCTTGCGTCAGGAGGGTGTACTGCGGGGTGGTGGGGGAGCAGGGTTGTTCTGAGTCGTACAGGTACAGGTGGCCGCTGGCGTGGGAGGCCAGGAACAGGCGCTCGGTGTCCGGCAGCCACCTGACCAAGGTGACCTTGGATTTGTCGATGAGGCGCTGGGGAGGGGAGAGGGGAAAGGGTTAAAAGGGGGGTGGGGGGCGTCTCGAGGGGTTCCTGGGGGAACTGGTGGGGTTTTGGGGGTCCCATGGGGGGATCTCAAAGGGTTCTTGGTGGCCCTGGGGAGGTTTTGGGGGTCCCATGGGGGATCTCAAAGGGTTCCTGGGGGAACTGGTGGGGTTTTGGGGGTCCCATGGGGGGATCTCAAAGGGTTCTTGGTGGCCCTGGGGAGGTTTTGGGGGTCCCATGGGGGATCTCAAAGGGTTCCTGGGGGAACTGGTGGGGTTTTGGGGGTCCCATGGGGGGATCTCAAAGGGTTCTTGGTGGCCCTGGGGAGGTTTTGGGGGTCCCATGGGGGATCTCAAAGGGTTCCTGGGGGAACTGGTGGGGTTTTGGGGGTCCTAGGGGGGATCTCAAGGGGTTCCTGGTGGTTCCAAGGGGGATCTCGAGGGGTTCCTGGGGGAACTGGTGGGGTTCTGGGGGTCCCAGGG